TCGGGTAAGATAACAAACTGATCCTAGTATACTTATACCAGTTATATACAGTATACATAAGTAGACTTACTGTATTAAACATTGCAGTGTATAAGACCCTGTTCATGTACACACAGTTATATACAGTATACAGAAGTAGACTTACTGTATTAAACATTGCAGTGTATAAGACCCTGTTCATGTACACACAGTTATATACAGTATACAGAAGTAGACTTACTGTATTAAACATTGCAGTGTATAAGACCCTGTTCATGTACACACAGTTATATACAGTATACAGAAGTAGACTTACTGTATTAAACATTGCAGTGTATAAGACCCTGTTCATGTACACACAGTTATATACAGTATACAGAAGTAGACTTACTGTATTAAACATTGCAGTGTATAAGACCCTGTTCATGTACACACAGTTATATACAGTATACAGAAGTAGACTTACTGTATTAAACATTGCAGTGTATAAGACCCTGTTCATGTACACACAGTTATATACAGTATACAGAAGTAGACTTACTGTATTAAACATTGCAGTGTATAAGACCCTGTTCATGTACACACAGTTATATACAGTATACAGAAGTAGACTTACTGTATTAAACATTGCAGTGTATAAGACCCTGTTCATGTACACACAGTTATATACAGTATACAGAAGTAAACTTACTGTATTAAACATTGCAGTGTATAAGACCCTGTTCATGTACACACAGTTATATACAGTATACAGAAGTAGACTTACTATACTAAACATTGCAGGGTATAAGACCCTGTTCACGTACACACAGTTATATACAGTATACATAAGTAGACTTACTGTAATAAATATATTTTAACTGGTGTACAATAAAGTAAACTGTCATACCCTGTTCTTGCAACCAGACTGGGTTCCATTTGAGAAGTTTGACGAGGAGGTTGTCCAGACTGTACTGCCTGTCCGGAGTGGTGTTATTGGCTCCTGTTATATCAGTCAGAGGCCTGTTCATCTGTGTTAAAAGGATTACATATCAAAGTACAGGTATAATGTTCTATCTGAAATGCATATAGGTTGATGGAGTACAAAAAAATTATGTTCAGGTGTGATATTTCAGTGAATTACAGTGGGCTAAATAACTAGTAAGGTATGTAATAATCAGGTAAATAACTAGTAAGGTATGTAATAATCAGGTAAATAACTAGTAAGGTAAGTAATAATCAGGTAAATAACTAGTAAGGTATGTAATAATCAGGTAAATAACTAGTAAGGTATGTAATAATCAGGTAAATAACTAGTAAGGTAAGAAATAATCAGGTAAATAACTAATAAGGTAAGTAATAATCAGGTAAATAACTAGTAAGGTAAGTAATAATCAGGTAAATAACTAGTAAGGTATGTAATAATCAGGTAAATAACTAGTAAGGTAAAAAAAAAATCAAGTAAATAACTAGTAAGGTAAGTAATAATCAGGTAAATAACTAGTAAGGTAAATAATAATCAGGTAAATAACTAGTAAGGTAAGTAATAATCAGGTAAATAACTAGTAAGGTATGTAATAATCAGGTAAATAACTAGTAAGGTAAGTAATAATCAGGTAAATAACTAGTAAGGTAAGTAATAATCAGGTAAATAACTAGTAAGGTAAGTAATAATCAGGTAAATAACTAGTAAGGTAAGTAATAATCAGGTAAATAACTAGTAAGGTAAGTAATAATCAGGTAAATAACTAGTAAGGTAAGTAATAATCAGGTAAATAACTAGTAAGGTAAGTAATAATCAGGTAAATAACTAGTAAGGTAAGTAATAATCAGGTAAATAACTAGTAAGGTAAGTAATAATCAGGTAAATAACTAGTAAGGTAAGTAATCATCAGGTAAATAACTAGTAAGGTAAGTAATCATCAGGTAAATAACTAGTAAGGTAAGTAATCATCAGGTAAATAACTAGTAAGGTAAGTAATCATCAGGTAAATAACTAGTAAGGTAAGTAATCATCAGGTAAATAACTAGTAAGGTAAGTAATCATCAGGTAAATAACTAGTAAGGTAAGTAATCATCAGGTAAATAACTAGTAAGGTAAGTAATCATCAGGTAAATAACTAGTAAGGTAAGTAATCATCAGGTAAATAACTAGTAAGGTAAGTAATCATCAGGTAAATAACTAGTAAGGTAAGTAATCATCAGGTAAATAACTAGTAAGGTAAGTAATCATCAGGTAAATAACTAGTAAGGTAAGTAATCATCAGGTAAATAACTAGTAAGGTAAGTAATCATCAGGTAAATAACTAGTAAGGTAAGTAATCATCAGGTAAATAACTAGTAAGGTAAGTAATCATCAGGTAAATAACTAGTAAGGTAAGTAATCATCAGGTAAATAACTAGTAAGGTAAGTAATCATCAGGTAAATAACTAGTAAGGTAAGTAATCATCAGGTAAATAACTAGTAAGGTAAGTAATCATCAGGTAAATAACTAGTAAGGTAAGTAATCATCAGGTAAATAACTAGTAAGGTAAGTAATCATCAGGTAAATAACTAGTAAGGTAAGTAATCATCAGGTAAATAACTAGTAAGGTAAGTAATCATCAGGTAAATAACTAGTAAGGTAAGTAATCATCAGGTAAATAACTAGTAACTTGTATGTTCACTTACTCTAGATGTTAACAATTGTATCAGATGATAACTGACTTGTTTATCAGTACCTAGTCAAAGATGCTTCAAGAGTTAATGTAATCCAGATCATTCCACTGTGACATACTCAGATAAGATAGATTGCTTCCTGACCCAGCATCACATGACCTTACTTGACCCAGCATCACATGACCTTACCTGACCCAGCATCACATGGCCTTACTTGTCACAGCATCACATAACCTTACTTGTCACAGCATCACATGACCTTACTTGACTCAGCATCACATAACCTTACTTGACTCAGCATTACATGACCTTACTTGACTCAGCATTACATGACCTTACTTGACCAAGCATAACATGACCTTACTTGACTCAGCATCACATGACCTTACCTGACCCAGGATCACATGACCTTACCTGACCCAGTATCACATGACCTTACCTGACCCCAGTATAACATAACCTTACTTGACCCAGTATCACATGACCTTATTTTACCTTACCCAGCATCACATGACCTTGTATCACCTAACCCAGAATCCCATAACCTTATATCACCTTACCCAGCATCACATGACCTTATATTACCTTACCCAGCACTACATGACCTTGTATTACCTTATCAAGCATCACATGACCTTATATCACCTTACCCAGCATCACATGACCTTAGTTGACCTTATGTCACCTTACCCAGCATCCAGGACCTTATATTACCTTACCCGGCATAACATGACCTTACCTGCCCAGTATCACATGACCTTACTTGACCCAGTATCACATGACCTTACATTACCAAGTATCACATGGCCTTATATTATCTTACCCAGTATCACATGACATTACTTGAACTAGCATCACATGACCTTACCTGACCCAGTATCACATGACCTTACCTGACCCCAGTATAACATGACCTTACTTGACCTAGTATCACATGACCTAGCATCACATGACCTTGTATCACCTTACCAAGCATCACATGACCTTATATCACCTTACCTAGCATCACATGACCTTACTTGATCCAGTATCACATGACCTTATGTCACCTTACCCAGCATCACATGACCTTACATTACCAAGTATCACATGGCCTTACCTGACCCAGTATCACATGACCTTATATTATCTTACCCAGTATCACATGACATTACTTGAACTAGCATCACATGACCTTACCTGACCCAGTATCACATGACCTTACCTGACCCCAGTATAACATGACCTTACTTGACCCAGTATCACATGACCTTTTATCACCTTACCTAGCATCACATGACCTTGTATCACCTTACCAAGCATCACATGACCTTATATCACCTTACCTATCATCACATGACCTTACTTGACCCAGCATCACATGACCTTATATTACCTTACCCAGTATCACATGACCTTACCTGACCCAGTATCACATGACCTTTCTTGACCCAGTGTCACATGACCTTACATTACCAAGTATCACATGGCCTTACCTGACCCAGTATCACATGACCTCATATTATCTTACCCAGTATCACATGACCTTACTTGAACTAGCATCACATGACCTTACCTGACCCAGTATAACATGACCTTACCTGACCCAGTATCACATGACTTCACCTGACAGTATCACATGACTTTATCGACACAGTATCACATGACCTTAGTTGACACAGTATCACTTGACCTTACCTTACCGAGTATCACATGACTTTACCTGACCCAGCATTACAAGACCTTACTTGCCAAGCATCACATGACCTTATATACCTAATAAAGCATCACATGACCTTACCTGACTTAGCACTGTTGTGTTACATTTCTCCATAAGGTTATGATGTCTGAAAGGAGGTACAGGCCCTTTGGGTTGAGTAGCGGATGGTGTTTGCATAGATCCTGCTGATTTAAAACTGGAAACATGTGGAATGGTCCCTTCTGTTCTGTTGAGTGGCCCCACTGGGTTAGTAACTTTCTCTGATCTTCGTAAATGATGTAACTGAGGCAGCCTTTCTTCCCGTGCAAGTATACTTCTGGCTAGATTGGAGATGACTGGCACTTTGTTTGTTGCCTTATCTGGCAGGTCAAACACCACTCTTCTACCAGGCTTGCTGATGCGATTTTCTGGACGCGACAGAATGGATTTTGGCCGTGTTGCTGGACGTCGGATCATTTTACCTACACGAGGTTTGAATGATACTGGCAGGGGATCATGAGCTGTTGTCGAGGGTTTGGAGGACTTGCTAACAGGATCAACATCATTACTAGCAGTGCTGCTCATCACTACTGATATCATGGGTGGCATATTTTCCTTGGTTCCTGTCGTTTTAGACAAGCCATCAAGTAAGCAAGTGTCCTGAGGTTCTTTGTTGGAATTAATATCGGGAATGTAATTTTCATCAAAATTAATCTCTTCTGAAGTTATAGACTCTAAACTCATGGACCTCTCCTCTATGACCTGGACTCTTTTATGATTTTCTGTATTAACTGATCTTGATGGCCTTTCCTCATTTCTATCATTATTTTTACTTGATCCTGAATATTTTTTGGATGACATCTCTCTATTTTGAATATCCTTTTTACTTGATCCTGATTCTGGTCTTGGCGACCTCTCCTTGTTTCTACTGTCATGTTTACTTAATCCTGGTTTTGTACTCTGTGACCTCTCCTTGTTTTTACTGTCATGTTGACTTGATTCTGGTTCTGTACTTTGTGACCTCTCCTTGTTTCTACTGTCATATTTACTTGATCCTGATTCTTTACTCTGTGACCTTTCCTTGTTTCTACTGTCATGTTTACTTGATCCTGATTCTGGTCTTGGTGACCTCTTTTTGTGACCATAATCCTTTTTACTTGATACTGATTCTGTACTCTGTGACCTCTCCTTGTTTTTACTGTCATGTTGACTTGATCCTGGTACTATACTCTGTGACCTCCCCTTGTTCCTACTGTCATGTTTACTTGATCCAGGTTCTGTACTCTGTGACCTCTCCTTGTTTTTATTGTCATGTTTACTTGATCCTGGTTCTGTACTCTGTGACCTTTCCTTGTTTCTACTGTCATGTTTACTTGATCCTGATCCTGGTTCTGGTCTTGGTGACCTCTCCTTGTTTTTACAGTCATGTTTACTTGATCCTGATTTTGTACTCTGTGACCTTTCCTTGTTTCTATTGTCATGTTTACTTGATCCTGATTCTGTACTCTGTGACCTCTCCTTGTTTTTACTGTCATGTTTACTTGATCCTGGTTCTGTACTCTGTGACCTCTCCTTGTTTCTACTGTCATGTCTACTTGATTCTGGTTCTGTACTCTGTGACCTTTCCTTGTTTCTAATGTCATGTTTATTTGATCCTGGTTCTGTACTATGTGACCTTTCCTTGTTTCTATTGTCATGTTTACTTGATCCTGATTCTGTACTCTGTGACCTCTCCTTGTTTTTACTGTCATGTTTACTTGATCCTGGTTCTGTACTCTGTGACCTCTCCTTGTTTTTACTGTCACGTTTACTTGATCCTGCTTCTGGTTTCAGTGATCCCTCCTTGTGACCATTATCCTTTTTACTTGATCCTGCTTCTGTACTTGATCTGTTTTTTGTACTGTTTAGAAGGTGGAACGACTGTTTGTCAGCTGTATGCCTCACTGTAGGCACCACCACTGTAAGGAGAGGCAGCTGTTTGGCCAGTATCTCCTCGTGATTGGGGAGCTGTACATCAGTATCATATCCCGTCGAGGCTACAAACAAATACACATCTTTATTCTATATTCAAAGTATGGGTCATAAAATAGTGCAAAACAGTTTTTAATTGGAAACAAGGTTACCGCGAGCGGTATATAATACGCCCGTCACACATTGAATGAGCAGTTGTTTGTATGATTGAAATATATGTTTCGGCAAGTCCATAAAGGGGCATAACTCCACAAATTATGGTCGGATAATGGCGGTTATCGAACTTGTCCGAGGTTTCATGGTAATTAACCTTGTTGTGAAGTTTGAAGTTAATCCGTTAATAATTACT